CGGGCCCGGCGCGCGAGACCCGCCGCCTCGGCCGCCGCCGCCTCAGCGTCCCAGGCGGCCAGGCTCGGCCCGCGGAGCAGCGCAGGGCGTGCGGGCGCCACTCGCTCTGCGCGCTCTGCACGTACACCACGGCCCCGCGGCGACCCGGGCGGGCGGCGCGCGAGGGCGGGGGGCGGGGCAGGGCGAGGGGTGGGCCGAGGGGGCGGTGGCCGCGCGCTCGCGCTCGGGCGCGGGCGGCGCCCGGGCCGCCTCTGCTCGCCCTCCCTCGGCCGGCTGGGCCTCGGAGCCCGGTCTGGCGCCCTTGGAGCCCGGTCTGGCGCCCTCGGCGCCCTCGGCGCCCACGCCAGCTGCGTCCGGGGTGGCCCCGGGAAGCTACCGCGGCCCGCCCGGGCACGCCGAGGGGCAGGCCCGAGAGCGGCGGAAGGGAGGGGGCAGCGCCGCCGCCGCCGCAGGGCCCGCGCCCCGGGCGGTACCGACACCTGCTGGGCAGAGCGCGGCCGCGAGGTCGCCGCGGAGCTGGGCGGCCTTAATATGGCTGCTGTTTGTGTGCGGCCGACTGGGTGTGTTCCAGGCGCGCTCCAGACTACGTTGCAAGGTGGCTGCTGCCACCGTCGTGTTGCATCGGAGGAAACGGAAATTCAGAGAAGTAAAGTAACTTGCCCAAGGTCACGCAGAACTGACACGGAACCCAGAAACCAAACTCTAGGATTCCAAGGCTCCTTTCTCCATGACGCCAATTCATCCTGTATTTCAGGAAGGCCCGAAATCGTTAAAAACAAAACAGTATTGCTGCGGTGTCATTCCAAGCCCCTGTGCCCCGTTAGAGCCAAATTTAAAGGTCCTGAAATTCGATGCTTTTTTTTTTTTTTTTTTACCATTTTTAAATAATGTGAAATCTTGCGGAGTTTAAACCCTCGTGAAAAAATGTTTGGCTACCGAGTAGACTAAGGTAATCAAAGCTCATTTCAGGGTCCACATTCAGACACTTAAGCTCATACTGCTGGAACTGCTCCTGAGAAGTGCATCTGGCCGGGGCGCGGGGCGGAGGGAGGGCAAATGGGCATTACTGCATTAACGACTTTTAAAGTTTAAACAGAAGTATCTTTTATTATTAGAATTTGTGCTATGCTGATGAGTACAATTCTTTCTTTTATAGTACATAAAAACCTTACCAGAAATAAGCCAACGGTGTTTCTTTCTGCCCTGCCATTTATTTTTGGAATAAAAAGGGCTGTGATTGCGATGTTCACCATCTTTATTGAGCACCTGGTAATGTGGGAAATGCTGTGCTGGGCTTGTGTACCACCTGAATAGACTGCAGGTAACTTCAGCAGTCCTTGAGATGTTAGCCTTCCAGATTAACAGCACAAGAGCTGAAATGTGTAAGGTTAAAAGAATAATATAGGGACTTATAAACCACTTTGTAAAATATTTTTTTAAAAACTAGCCTGAATCCAAAAACTCTTCATCAACTACACAGAACTTAAAACTGTCATTAAATTCTGCCATATACATAAACAGTACCCTGGGGATCCAATCTGGTGAAAGAGGACAGTAATTCCAATTAGCTTGGCCTTTGGAAGACAGATAAGTTCCGTGCAGGGGACGGAAGTGTAAACAAATAATGACAACCTAGAGCTCAGAGTAAATGCCCTAAGAGAGGGTGGATAGGATGGGATGGGAACAAAGAAAAAGGAATTGCTAGCCCTGCCCATTGCACTAATCAAGATTTCAAATCGATTAATTTAGAAAGTCTTAAAAATGGCTTAAAAAGTTAGCTTTTAAAACGTTTTGACATATGTAAATTATAAATGTAAAGTATAATTTCAATACAAGTGAAATCTGACTTCCTTGGCCTCCTTTTGCTGTAGTAATGATAACTGATTCTTAAGTATTCTCAAGTTTGCTAGGGAACACTCATTCTACAGACACTTGATTCTTCTAAATTTAGTTACTTGTAGATATTAAAAGTAGTCCAGCAATATCTTTTAAAATTACTATTTAGGTCTGCGGCATGCAAAGAAGTGTATTTACATCTCTCTATGCTTTTTTTCATGTATTTTCATTGATATCTACCTAAAAGATTAGATGTCCGTATCAAAACCTTTATTAGCTTTCATTTTGTTCCAATTAAGTATACAAAATCACAAACTTAACATGTGTATCTTGAAAATACTTAATTATTCAAATGTGACACTTTCAAATTTTTCATGAATAGAACAAATATAAAATGTTTCAAATACTTCCAAAGATCTATGATTTCAGAATTTTCACTTATTCAGGTTTAATAACCTGTGAACTCATTCCAAATTAGTGAGGTTTCACCACACCATCTGCTGACCATGCAATAGCCAGTGAATGACAAGTTCACCAAGGAGGTTCTAGAACTCCACCGGCTTGTAGCTGTTGTCATTTATTCAAATGTTATGGAGAAGATCCACACTGTCATGCAGGAATTTATCTTATAAACACTTACAGGGTACTTACTATTATGTGTCAATCTCTGTTCTAAGCATTTTATAAATATCTCATTTAATCTTTACAATCACCATGAGGTGGGTACCATTATTATGTCCATTTATGGAAAATGAAACAAGAGTAAGGTAATGAGATGAGTAGCAGTAGGAGTGTTACCTAATACTTTGGGGAGAACAAAGGCTTGTGTCTCCCAAAGCCAGTAATTAGTACAACTTTTTCCCTGCCCCGAACCTAATGAAGATCAACTGTTCTAAAACCTGAAGGATGAATTCAAGGAAAGGTGCTGTCATCTCCATATCACACTAACTTGGAGGAAAGCTAATTGACCACCTCTTTCACTTTCCTTTGTTCTTCTGGCAATGTTTACTTAAACTATAAAGCAGTAACCACTATGAACTGATGAGAGACTTACAAAAAAATAGAGGCAAAATTGAGATTAAATGCAAAGGGCAGAATTAAATGAGGAAATGAATTTAGAAATGACTGTGTCGAGTCTTGAGGAAAGCCCAGTGAGCAGGCTTTGTCTTCAAGGGACTAGCCCTATTTCTCCTTTAAAAATGTTTAAAATGCACAAGAGAGCGTCTTTTCTGCTCAGGAAATCACACATCTGATTGTTAACTAATGACCTCTTGTTTCCCCATCTGTGACAATCTTGTTTTAATACATTACAGAGAACAGAAAAATCACAAGTACAACATAGGCATCCCACCAAGATAAACAGGAAGACGATCTTCAAGTTCTGGGAAAAGCAACTAAAAATTTGAGCCATTTTCTAACTATAGTATTGGGACACGCACAAGTAGGTGTCTTGAAAAACAGCACCTGCTCTCTTCTGTACTGGGTGTCCTGCCAGATGCACACATGCGCTGTGCTTCCCCATGTACGTCGAACCAGGTTTACTGTCTACCAAGGTGGTTTCCTTATGAAAATAAAATATTTAAATAGACTTTATATATATTCAGGAAAATTTATCTATCACCCACTTTATCAGCTTATGATTTAAAACTTACCCACTAATCCAGTTAAAAATTGATCATCTCAAGAAATATAACATGAAACTTTAGAATCATTCCTCATTATAATGATTATTCATTTACATAATGTATATAAATATAATGGGTTAATATAATTACACTGTGAGTTGTTTTTTGTTGTCATTGTTGTTGTTAACAAACATTACCTTAATGTTGAACCCACTTTTAACGTAGTCCCAGTCAGTAACTTATACCAACCCAGGTTAAAGACAGCTCAATTTTTTCTGTAACTCTTTTTTGTGGGAAAAGGTAAACATACACAAAGATAGAGATAGTAGTATAATCAACCTCAGCCCTGATTAGGTCAATAATTATCAACTTCAACAACTATCAACATTTTTATATTCTTATGCCCCCCTCCATTTTGCCTTTTCTTTTTCTTTTTCTTTTCTTTTTTTTTTTTTTTTTTTTTTTTTTTTTTTTTTTTTTTTGGCTGCAGGATCTTGGTTTCCTGGCCAGGGGATTGAACCCCGGGCCCACGGCAGTGAAAGTGCGGAGTCCTAACCGCTGGACCACCAGGGAATTCCCTCCGTTTTGCCTTTTTTTAATTTATTTTTTATTGAGTTATAATTGACATATAACATTGTATTCATTTTAGGTGTACGACATAATGATTGGATATATGTATATTTTATGAAACAATTACCATAGGAAGTTTAGTTAACATTCATCACCTCACACAGTTAGTCTTTTTTCCTTGTGATGAGAACTTTTAAGATCTTCTCTCTTAGCAACTTTTTTTTTAATTAATTAATTAATTTATTTATTTATTTATTTATTTTGGCTGCATTGGGTCTTCGTTGCTGCGCGTGGGCTTTCTCTAGTTGTGGCGAGCGGGGTCTGCTCTTCGTTGCGGCTGGCAGGCTTTTCATTGCGGTGGCTTCTCTTGTTGCGGAGCACGGGCTCTAGGCGCACAGGCTTCAGTAGTTGTGGCACGTGTGCTCAGTAGTTGTGGCTCGTGGGCTCTAGAGCGCAGGTTCGGCAGCTGTGGCGCATGGGCTTAGTTGCTCCGCGGCATGTGGGATCTTCCCGGACCAGGGACTGAACCCGTGTCCCCTGCATTGACAGGCGGATTCTTAACCACTGCTCCACCAGGGAAGCCCCTCTCTTAGCAACTTTTAAACCTGCAATACAGTATTGTTAACTATAGTCACTATTCTGTACATTAGATCTCCCAGACTTATGTATAACTGAAAGTTCGCACCTTTCAACGGTTTCACCACCCCCTCTACCCACTGCCTCTGGCAACCACTAATCTATTCTTGGTA